CCATACGCATCCTTCCTCGCCGGGCCCCGCTGCGAGTCGAGGACATCAGGAAGAGACCAGCCGGCAAGCGGGTCCGATGAGTCCATCATGGGCCAGACATCCTTCTCTTGGAAGAAGGTGCTGTTTGACATGTAGATAGGAATCAGTCACGGGCATGGACACATCTCTTATTGGGTGGAGATATGCACTAGAGGTACTTACGGGTTGGGCATGGTAAAGTCGGCTCGAGGTGTTCCGAATGGGAGGAGCATGCCGTCCGCATAGAACTTATTCGAGCCTATGCGCATGTGGGGAATCTGGCAGAGCATGTGGCGATCCCGGTAGTCCTCGCGGGCTCGGGCGTTGACGACCTTGTCACGAGTCGCCTTAGCCTTTCCGATCTTGATCTTCTTGGGCGCCTCGGTCATTGCGAGGAGGCGGAGCCACTGGCGCCTCGATAGCACAACACGCATCTGGACGCCGTCCTTGAGTGTCCAAGTCTTTGCCAGCAGAGCTTCCTGGTCTTTGCCCTCTGTCTTGGTGCACACGTCCTGGACAAGAGGCCGCAACATGATGGTGAGGATATCCATGTGGGACTTGGTCAAGAATGCCGAGTAAAAGACGTGAAGGACGCAGTCGGCGGCCGTGTCGGCGTCCTGGACGGTGGCAAAAATGAGCAGCAAAATAACGTTGCGGGCAACGACATCAAACTCCTTGTCATTGAGTACGACCGAGACGTCGTGCTTGTACTCCTGCGGCAGCTTGCCAATGGACATGATGACGTTGCGCAGGTCACCGGAAGCTGAAGTAGGCGAGGTCTTTTAGTCGGCTCTAGGCGCCAAAAAGATGGGAACAGGCTAGGGTCTGGGTCGTGTTGGCAGACATACCGGGAAGGAGCAGGTCGAGATTTCTTTCGAATCTGACTCCTTCGTTCTCTCGAAGCTTAACAATGTCGACGGCCGGGATGTTGCCCCAGAGGTATTTGAAGGTGCCAAAATACTCCATCTTGGGACCCTCGTCGGACAAGAAGGTGGGCATTCGATGCTGCCGGATCCAGACGGGCCTCCAGTCTGCCTTGAGGAGGTCGGACTCGCAATCCTTCTTGTGCTCTTCGGCATTTTTCTCCTTGCACTCTATGCAGCAGTACTGGTGAGAGTGCAGCTTTGAGTTAACGAATTGTGGAATGCGCAAGCACGACTAGACACTGCTGATGGTTGAGGAGAGGATCTTACAGCAACGAGCTCACATCTACCACAGGCCATGACAGCCTTGGCGGCAGATGCGCTGCCATCCTTGGCCTTCTTGCATGCCTTATTCGCGCAGACAAGGTGCGCGGGCTGAATCGAGGGCAGACCGCCCGTATCGGCGGGCATGGCGGACATGGTTCCTTGCTCGCGGAGGGAAAACAAGGAGAACTGGCAGTGTCGAAAAAAAAACAATGAAAAAAGGTGATCGTATTGTATTGGGTGACAATAAAGTCGTCGGTAACCAACCAAGAAGCTCCGAAGAGATGGCAAGATCTCAAAGTTCTTGTGGTGGAAGAAGAGGAAGAACTTGAAAGAATTTCGAGGACTGAAGAAATTTCTGGCCACCCAATATATTGTGCTTAAGGGCTTGGGATTTTTCAAGGCAGCAACGCACCCAACCGCTCGTTCATAGCAGAAGACGGCAGACAAGAAAAGAGGCCTCACCTCAGTTGTCCGAGTCTCCCGATGCGAAATGAAGCTGATGTCATAAGAGACCTTTGGTCTGATGTTTCTCTTGCCGTAGTGGAAACTTTGAGCCAGTCGTTTGTGTCTGCTGTGACGATCTGGGCCAAGACCAGACCCACACCATCAGGACCACGCGGTTGACAATCGTCGAGATGCGTCAGGCGTACGCCGAGCACCAGAATCCCCTTTTCTTCCCTTTTTCTCCTCAGAGTAGAATCTTCGTTCGTAGTGCCAATCGATAGTGTACCTTTTGCGGTCCTGTCCACGACCCTGGCCGTGACATCTGCTACAGCCTCAGCCTGACCATTCCTACCCACCTTTGTAAGTCTAGACCCGGCCTGAGGACTGCCCTGCAAGATCTCTGCACCACCCAAGAGAATGAAAACAGCCAATTGGCTGCCTTGGGTAATTAATCCAAGCCATTGGGTCATAACATTGGCTGGGCCTATTCGGCTGCTGCACGAGGTCTCCCACTACTCCATGATGGTACCCACTACTACGGAGGACTCCCACCACTGCATGATGACTTCCACTGCCGCGTAGGACTCCCACTGCATGAGGACTCCCACTACTGCAAGAGGCCCCGTTGATGTCGGGGGTCTTATGGATAAGCATGTGAACGGCCGAGCACGATAGAATTGGCCAAAGGGCAGGCTGGACTCGGTGGAAACGGTTTCCAATTATTAACCTTGGATAGTGCCGAAGGGGGCGGTTTTTCAAACCTTTGAATACTACCTTCCACACCGGGGGACCCCAATTTCAAAAAACGCTCGGCCACACGTTTAACTCTTAACGGGACCTCGAAAAGATCCAGTCAGAAGTTTTGGCGGGACGACGGGTCTACCGGTCGACATATAAAAGAAGACACTTTTACCAAATCAATGGAATTATCCTGGAACTGTATGTTCTCTTATTCTTTATTCCCACCGTCCGTGTCATAACTGCACTGTTCTCTATCAACCATCGAGCACAATGGAGAATCTACCTGGCAAAACGGAACTACAGCGCTTGGAAGAGGAGAGAGATGCTATTCAAGTATGCTTAGCTGTTTGCGAAGCTGCCCGCATACATGTCGATCAAGCTTCCGAGCGCAACAAAGATCCTCAAACGAGTACTGAGGATGGTAAGAGAGCCATCTCTAACCTCTCGGAGCTCATGGTAGCCGGTCGACGACAGCCAAACCGACAGCCTCAAACCAACACGATGTACAGCACCGGGGAGATAAACAGAAACACAGCTAGTCTATCCCAGCCTTCTAGTCTCCCTCATCGACGTCGAAAAGTTCAACCCCAAGCCAAAGGACCCAGTGGAGAGGAGGACACTAAGGAGAGCTGCGGAAATTCCGCAGCAGATTTGCAAGGAGATTCGCATGAGGAGTCATTCATTATGGTAGAAAAGCCCGACGAGGGGGATCCGGATAGGGAATTATGAGCTCAGTATCGCTACAGAAGCCGGATGCACCGCTATGTATTAGCCCACTAGTCCATACAACACAGAGTCACGAATCGCTGAACCCGGAACCTCCTATTGACCTGCTCATCTGTACGTTCGTGCATGACAAGCCGTGCTTGCCCACCATCCCTCAAAGAGCTTCAAGCGTGGGTCAGCCCCGGGGGCGAATGGGTACGAGTGATTGACGGACTGGCAGCTCGCGCTGACCACCCCTGCCTGTTTTTGGTCATCCGTTGTTTGCGCAGGCAAAGCGCGCAGGATGGAGAGTGGGCAAATCGCCCGTCTCTGTTGGGATAGCTGACATCTGTGCCTTAACCGCGGAGCAAAAAAGAGAAAGCAAGCCAGCAGCCAACCGAAAATTTGAGATGTCGCCAGTTTGGGAGAGAACGTCAAATTCCACACAAGCCGC